AGTAGAAGAGGGTCCCCAACCTTGGGTTGGACCAACCCTTGGCTTGCAGCTCAATTCTGCTTCCTGCATTCCTGTTCTACGTCCCAGCTCCTCCCCAGTGACTGAAAGGCAGGTGTGACTCCAGGCTCTGCACCGGTTCTTCTTGGTTCTCCCACCAAGCCCTTTGTTCCTCATGTCCCCGTGTTTCTCTCCCTTTGCGTCTTAGCACCTTTCTTCTGTTCAAAGTTTTCTGTAAATTTTTTTTTCTTTCCTTTTTTTTTTTTTTTTTTTTATAAATTAATTTGCTTTCAGTTTCATCTTGTGGGTGCATTCTGTGTTCTTACCTGTGGCTGTCAGGCAGGGGGATTGGGATGGGAGCAGCTTTCCTGGAGTCCTTCACAGCGTTGTTTATCTGGGCTAAAGAGACACTCTGCGAGCCACAGGGCCTACAGATACACCTTACCACACAACGCAAACAGCAGCACAGCTCTCAGGACCATATATAAGAGCAGGGGCTATGTATAAGAGGCCGGGCGTGGTGTCTCAAGCCTGTAATCCCAGCACTTTGGGAGGCCGAGGCGGGTGGATCGCGAGGTCAAGAGATCGAGACCATCCTGGTCAACATGGTGAAACCCCGTCTCTACTAAAAATACAAAAAATTAGCTGGACATGGTGGCATGTGCCTGTAATCCCAGCTACTCAGGAGGCTGAGGCAGGAGAATTGCCTGAACCCAGGAGGCGGAGGTTGCGGTGAGCCGAGATCGCGCTGTTGCACTCCAGCCTGGGTAACAAGAGCGAAACTCCGTCTCAAAAAAAAAAAAAAAAAAAAAAGACTATGTATGAGAGCAGAGACTTACACCTTTTAGGGCAGGTCTAAGAGCAGAGGCTCTCACTTGCCCTTAAAGCTATTTAAGACTTGGAAGGACATTCCCACAACATGGAGATTTTGTATCTTTTTCCCTTCAGAAGTAGTGGTTTCACTCCTTCCCTTATTAGGGAGGAGGCAAGCCCCTTTCCTACATCTGTTATTATTGGCCCTTCGCCCTGCTGAGGTGACGGGCAGGCCTAGGCAGTGCTAATAACTGCCTGGCTTTAGCTCCAATAAACACTCCACAGGCTTCCCCACAAAAGGCCTTATTGGAAGATTGGGAGGGCAGGGGCCAGATTTAAGGAGCTGGAAGGCTAGAAGACAGCCAGCCCGATATGGAATGGAACAGGGATGACCAGCCTTGGTCCTGCTGGGATCTATGACTTTCCTAATCTCCCAAGAGGTAGCTTGTGTAAGATGGATGAATGGGGCCAGCAGTTCTTAACCGGAGCCCAGTTAGTCCGCGGGCCTTCCCCAGCTTTCCTCAACCCCCTGCTTCATTGACCTCGGACTCTGCCTCAGGGCAGAAATCATCAGCACCTCACCTTCCTCTCCTTTACCCTGCTCAGGGAAGAAAGCAGAACCAAACTGAGGGCCAGAGAGCAAGTTTTATTTGGTGAATGCTGACAGCAAACATCATCCGAAAGAGATGAGATGGGAAAGGTGCTGACACAAGAGAGCCTAGGGAGCCTTCAGGCTAGATACAAAATTCACACAGGGAAAGGCACGGACTCTGGGGAGACTGGGAAGGTCCTCAGCCATTCAGCACCATGCGGACGAGTTCTGTGGAAAGCAAAGTTGGGATGAGCCAGAGAACAGGGCTGTGGAGGGGTACGCCAAGGGCCAGGGACGACACGACTGCAAAGGTAGCATAAGAGGGAACATGTCCACAGCAACCAACCCTGGGGTCAGTATGCAGAGGAGCCACCTTGAGTCTGACGGTTCTCCCTGACCCTAGCTCCCCTCCCACCGCTGTTAGTCCCCCACCCCACCCTGAGCAGCAAGAACACAGCAGAGGCAGAAAAGTTCTCAACTACACCTACAGCTACTGTCAGCCACTGGCGGGAAAAGAGGACAGAGTTTCGGGTTAGGGTACCTCCAAGCTGCCCAGCGAGGGAAGGGGAAGGGACTGTTCAGCTATAGCAGCAGAATGGGGCAGGCAACCCATACCCCCTATGCCAGCTACCCATGCTCCCGGGCCAGAAGATCACCCTAAAGCAAGACTGGTTTACAGGCTGGTGAGAGTTCCCAGACACCAGCTCTCAGGGCCCTGTAAGTAAAACCTCAGGGCCCATTCTAGAAGTATGGAGGTACCATACCCCCAGGCTGTCTTCCTCTTTGAGGAATCCCTCCCCTCCCTAGTCAGCTCCATGCAGAAACATGCCAGGAGGAAGTCAGATGGTAGTAGAGTAAGGGCAGGGGATAAAGAGCACAGGTTGGGAAAAAAAGAAACACTGGGGAGATAACTAAAGGAGAGGCTGGGAGGAGCCGTACCCGCCCCATGGGCCCGTCACCCCGACAGGATATGCCTCACAAACGCTGCAGGAAGGAAGAGACATTCATGGTGAAGACAAGACACAGACATGGGGTGAGGGGGTCAGGTGGTAGGGAAACAGACATTCCATTATTTACTTCTCATTCCTTACCCACCCTTTACAACATTACTCCTTCCTTTCCTGTCATACCCGCTTTACCTCCCACTCCTGGGCTAGGCTAGGCAGGGCTGTGCCCCTTGCTTCCTGGCTTTTTGGAGCCGAAGTCCAGGGATAGGGAAAGCCCCAAACACTATACTTGACTTGCCCCATATGCTGCTTCCTCCGAGAAAGCCCATTTCACCCCTTACCTTCGTAGTTGATACAACCATTGCTGTCCTCGTGCCCGGCCACCAGCATCTCTACTTCTTCCTCTGTCATCTTCTCACCTGCAGGGGGAAAGAAACCATTTTTGGAATTGGGTGACAGGGTGACAAGGTATCTCAGGGTGCTGTCTCAGCTCAAGGACAAGGACACAGAACCTTACCCAGTGTGACAAGAACATGCCGGATTTCAGCACCCATGACGGTGCCATTTCCTTCTTTGTCAAAAACCCGAAGTCCTTCGACATAATCCTCATAGGTGCCCTGGTCCTTGTTCTTGGCCACTGTCTGCAGCATGGGCAGAAAGTGCTCAAAGTCCAGCACCTTCACATTCATCTCTGCCATAAAGGAGGTGGAAGTGTCAGGCCAGAGAAGTGACACAAGTTCTCTGGACAGGGGATTATGGAGACCTCAACTGAACAGAGATGACTCCCCGCTAAAAGCAAGGAAATTCATCGGATTTGTTAATCCAGACTTGCTTGAGTTTGGGGCCTTTGAAGATAAAGGGAAAAGCTCTTAGCTGAAGAACTGGGCCCACCACCACACGGAGGAGTTGTTCTTGAGGCCCCTCACCATCACTCTTGGGGTTCCCCAGGACTTTGAGCACCTCGGCGTTGGTGGGGTTCTGGCCCAGGGCCCTCATCACATCCCCACACTGGCTGTACAGGATCTTGCCATCACCTGTTCGGTCAAACAGCTGGAAGGCCTCCTTGAACTCTAAGGATTCAGATGAATGTCAATACAGGATTTCAGGGTTAGCCCAAACCGTACCTCGGAGCTCTGCTGCCCATTCAACTTTGATCATGCTGAGGAAACCAGATATCTGTACCAAACTGTACACCAAAGTCTACTTAAGAGAGATCTATTTCTCTTCCTCCCAACTCAGGTGTCCTATATAGAGCCTGCCTCCCCGCTTTGGCAGCCTGGTAACATCCATTTACACACACCGCCTCTGCCTCCAGCAGGCCCGCCAATCTCCGCTGCTGCTGCTGCTGCTGCTACACTTCATGGCAGGAATTTGCCACCACCCAGTCTCAGTCCTGTCCTTATAAGGAAGCGGGAGCAGCAGCCTGGGACTAGGGTCATCCCAAACTGCCACTTCCCAGCCCTCCAGTACAAAGAGAAATTCCAGAGAGTAGCCCTACAAAGTCATATCCTTAGCAAACTACCCTGTCCTGTCCCCATCTGCACAGAGTATCAGGTCACTGCTCTACAATCTTTACAAGTCCAAGTTGGGAGGGCGGGGACAGTTATCACAGGAGGAGGAAAGACGCAGAAGTAGCTGATTAAGGGACAAAGGAGCACAGGCAGCTTTATACACCCTCCCCAAGCCCCACACACGGCAGGCATTAGGTGACCAAGTTTTTTCACATACCCACACCACCTAAAAACTCACCCAGTGCTTGGGACTCAGATCTAGAGTGGAAGGGGAGGGAGGAAGATAGTGAGAAAAGGAAATGGAGGATCCAGAAGAAGAGAAAATAATCCAGGGAGTAATTTCATGGGGGTGCTGACGAGATGACAGGTTAGGATTAGAGGATAGGTGCTGGGGGGAATGTCCCTCTCCCTAAGGGTGACCTCGGTATGGATCAGAGATTACCTACCTGCGGTCTGGTCTTCGGTGAAGTCACACTGCTCAGAGAAGAGAAGAATGGTCAGCAGCTGAACGCCAATCCCCCGAGTTTGTATCCCAGCCCCACAAACTCTGACCCACAAGTTCCTGTTTCAGGCTGCAGACTCGCTTTCCCGCAGGACAGAGCCCCGGGCTTTCCAACCTCACCTCCAACCTTTCGGGTCCTCAGGTTCCCTTTGCCTCCTACCACTGCCTTCTCCTCGCCCCCCACCCGTTTCTTCCCGCCTCTCGCCCCCAATCCTGCCCATCTCCCAGGCCCTGGGCCCCACCATCTTGACTGCTCAGCTCTGCGGGACCTTTTCCTGCAGTAATGGCTCCGACTCTCGGCCCAACCCTAGTCTTAGTACGTCCCAGTGACGTCACCCGCAGCGGATTCAGCCAATAGGAATCGTGTTCTGGGTTTATACAGACGATTGCTACATTAGTAATGACGTAGGCGGGACCTGCTGTTCCTTTCTCCAGCCTACCTGGGCTCGGAAACTAGGGTAGAGGGTAGGGGTCGGGATGGGGTGCAATGAATCTGCGCCTCCCAACAGGAAGATCAGAGGATCGGAAGAGGAGAGAGCCTTCCCTTCCCTCCCTCTCCTCCTAGCACCCTCCCGCTCCTCCTAGTACCCTCCCCGTTTCCCCCGCTCCCCACACCAGGAAGAAAACAGCAGTCTGAAACCAAGGGAGGAACCGAGTCTTTATTTTGAAACAATAGGTGGCCTCCTGGTGGCTGGAACGTGCTTCTGCCTGCGGGGCCCAGTATTCGGGCCCCACTGATCTGTGGAAAAAAACGAAAAGTTGCCAAGCGTGGAGCTCGCGCAGGAACCGTACAGCAGAACGCACTCCGCTGCTTTTCTATGCTGGCTGTGAGAAGGGCAGGAGACTTGGCTCTTAGGGCGGGTTGAAAGGATGGGAGGGCCCTACCTGCAGCACTCAGACGCTTAGGATGTGTTTCAGGAAGGCTGCAGAGAGAGGAAGCAAGAGGGGCTTCAGAAGCAGGCTTTTGGATAATACATCTGAGTCTAGGTAGTCCAGGGGTGCCCCCGCCCACACGCGGCCAGACGCCGGGCTCCCCTCCTCCCCCGGCCCCGCTCCCACTCCTTTTGGCCCCTCACCCTCGTAGTTGATGCAGCCGTTGCTGTCCTCATGTCCTGCCAGAACAGTCTCCACCTCCTCCTCAGTCATCTTCTCTCCTGAATCCCAGACAGCGTCTAAGCCCCTGCTTTCCCTCCTTCACCCACCCAGGCCACGCTCTTTTTTTTTTATTTTTTATTTTTGAGATGGAGTTTCTCTTGCTGCCCAGGCTGGCACGCAGTGGGGCGATCTCGGCTCACTGCCTCCTCCTCCTCCCCAATTCAAGCGATTCTCCCTGCCTTAGCCTCCAGAGTAGCTGGAATTACAGGTGCTCACCACCATGCCCGACTCATCTTTTATATTTTTAGTAGAGACAGGATTTAGCCATGTTGGGCAGGCTGGTCTCTAACTCTTGACCTCAGGTGATCCGCCCACCTTGGCCTCCCAAAATGCTGGGATTACAGGCATGAGCCACCACGCCCAGCTTTTTGCGACGTGGTTTTGCTCTTGTTAGCCACGCTGGAGTGCAATGGCGCGATCTCAGCTCACCGCAACCTCCGCCTCCTGGGTTCAGGCAATTCTCCTGCCTCAGCCTCCTGAGTAGCTGGGATTACAGGCACATGCCACCATGCCCAGCTAATTCTTTGTATTTTTAGTAGAGACGGGGTTTCACCATGTTGACCAGGATGGTCTCGATCTCTTGACCTCGTGATCCAACCGCCTCGGCCTCCCAAAGTGCTGGGATTACAGGTGTGAGCCACCGCGCCCGGCCTTTCCATCTATTTTTATATATAATATGAACATAACAATTGTAATCTTTTTTTTTTTTTTTTTCCGAGACAGGTTCTCCCTCTGTCACCCAGGCTGGAGTGCAGTGATGTCATCATGGCTTACTGCAACCTCCACCCCCTGGGCTCCAGCGATTCACCTCAGCTTTCCAAGTAGCTGGGACTACAAGCACCACCATACCTGGCTACTTTTAAAAATTTTTTTGTAGAGGTACGGTTTTGCCAAGTTGCCCAGGCTGGTCTCAAACTCCTGAGCTCAAATGATCTACCTACCTTGGCCTCCCAAAATGCTGAGATTACAGGTGTGAGCCACCATGCCTGGTCTTGTAATTTTTTTTTTTTTTTTTTTGGAGACAGAGTTTCAGTTTGTTGCCCAGACTGGAGTACAATGGCACAATCTTGGCTTACTGCAACCTCTGCCTCCCAGGCTCAAGCGATTCTCCTGCCTCAGCCTTCTGAGTAGCTAGGATTACAGGTGTGTGCCAGCACACCTGGCTAATTTTGTATTTTTAGTAGCGACGGGGTTTCACCATGTTGGTCAGGCTGGTCTCGAACTCCCGACCCCAGGTGATCTGCCCATCTGAGCCTCCCAAAGTGCTGGAATTACAGGTGTGAGCCACTGCACCTGGCGGTAATTTTTTTTTTTTTTTTTTTTTTGAGACAGAGTTTTCGCTCGTTACCCAGGCTGGAGTGCAATGGCGCGATCTTGGCTCACCGCAACCTCTGCCTCCTGGGTTCAGGCAATTCTCCTGCCTCAGCCTCCTGACTGGCTGGGATTACAGGCACACACCACCATGCCCAGCTAATTTTTTGTATTTTTTTTAGTAGAGACGGGGTTTCACCATGTTGACCAGGATGGTCTCGATCTCTCGACCTCGTGATCCACCCGCCTCAGCCTCCCAAAGTGCTGGGATTACAGGCTTGAGCCACCGCGCCCGGCTTAATTCTTTTTTTTTAAATAGAGATAGAATCTCACTATGTTGCCCAGGCTAGTCTCAAACTCCTAGGCTCAAGCGATCCTCCCACCTTGGCTCCGCTCTTTTCTTTTTTTTTTTTTTTTTTGAGTCTTGCTCTATTGCCCAGGCTGGAGTACAGTGGTGCCGTCTTGGCTCACTGCAACTTCTGCCTCCCCTGTTTCAAGTGATTCCCCTGCCTCAGCCTCCTGAGTAGCTGGGATTACAGGTGCCTGACAACATGCCTGGCTAATTTTTGTGTTTTTAGTAGATGGGGTTTCACCATGCTGGCCAGGCTGGTCTCGAACTACTGACCTCAAGTGATCTGCCCACCTTGAGGTCAGTAGTTGGCCTCCCAAAGTGCTGGGATTACTGGCTTGAGCCACCAGACTGCCCAGCATTTTTTTTTTTTTTTTTGAGACAGGTCTTGTTCTGTCACCCCAGCTGGTGTGTAGTGGCACAATCTTGGCTCACACAACCTCCAACTCCTGGGTTCTAGAAATTCTGCTGACTTGGCCTCCTGGGTAGCTGAGACTACAGGAACCTGCCACCATACCTGGCTAATTTTTGTATTATTAGTAGAGACGGGGGTTTCACCATGTTGCCCAGGCTGGTCTCGAACTCCTGAGCTCTGGTGATCCACCCACCTTGGCCTCCCAAAGTGCTGGGATTACAGGTGTGAGGCACTGCACCTGGCCAGGCCATGCTCTTTAGAGTGGTACCTCTTCTTCTCCCACCTTGGAAACTTCCCATGGCCTCAGTCCTCAAGGGAATCCTCCCCTGGTCATGGATGCCTCTTGCTTTCTATTTCACCTTAGTACTGGTGAAAGTAGTGACCAACAAGGGAGCAATCCCAGGAAGTTAAGAGACTTGTGCCAGAACACACAACCCACACATCTCTCCCTACATGAAAATTCACGATTCCTGCTTCATCCCCTTTCCTCTTCCCTCTGGAAGGTACTCTGCCCTCTGGAGAAGCAAGTCCTTCAGATTCTGCCCCCATAGCTCTGACCTTCTCAGTCTCCTGCTCACAACCTGCAGGACAGTAATCCCCTTGCTGGCTCTGCTTATCTGGCCAGCCTTCTTTCTGGTCCACCCCATCCCCCTCTGTACTCTAAAGGAGTTCTGGTCTCCTTGGCCTGCCTCACCGAGGGTGGTGAGGACATGTCTGAGCTCTGCTCCCATGACTTTGCCGTTCCCCTCCTTGTCAAACACACGAAGCCCCTCCAAGTAGTCCTCATATGTGCCTTGGTCCCGGTTCTTGGCCACCGCCTGGAGCATGGGCAGGAAAGTCTCAAAGTCCACACGCCGGGACTTCAGCTCTGGAGGTTGGAGAGAGGTGAAGGAGAGGTCACTGCAGTATCATGTAGGACCCAGTTCCCAACCCTACCACAATGCTTTCGTCCTGTTCAGCATTCAGGATATTTTCCTGCTCCTATGTTTGACAGTTTCTGAAGTCCTGAGGCCCACCTCATTCTTTGTGACCAACATCCCACTGCTGAAAACTAAAAACCCGATTTGTTCCAAGAGTCCCCTCACCATCACTCTTGGGGTTTCCCAGGATCTTGAGCACCTCAGCGTTGGTGGGGTTCTGGCCCAGGGCCCTCATCACGTCCCCACACTGGCTGTACAGGATCTTGCCATCCCCCACTCGGTCAAACAGCTCAAAGGCCTCCTTGAACTCTAAGGTATAAGGAGGAGTCAGTGTAGACACAGACTAGGGGTTCCCATCACCCCCAGACAGAAGGGAATTTCATAAACTATATGAACAGAATGAGGGCGGAAAAGAAGAGTAGTATGGGAGGTTTTAAGGTCAGGACTGGGGTTAGGGGAATAGAAAGAGAATCTGACCAGGGGATTGGGGACTGGACAGTGGGCTTAGGAGACCAGCTTCTCCTCACCCTCCAGTTGGTCCTTGTTAAACTCGATCTGTGGAAGAAAAAAGCAGGTGGGGAGAGATGACAGAGTTTATTCAATCCCTCTCCAACACTCCTCCCAACCAACTGGCAGCCACTTCTGGGGAGGGGCCCAAAGGGACCAGGCTGGAAGCCCAGCCACTTCAGTCCCATTCCCAGCTCTGGGCCTTGGGAGAATCCCAAGAAGAGGAATTATAGGGGGGAGGGTTTCCTGGGAACAGGGTTAATCCCATGCCACCTGTTCCCCTCCCTCCACTGCCCTGAGCCCTGCATCCCTCACATAACTGGGGGCTGAACAAAGGCTAAATTTACCCCTGGCCCCCAGCTGTGATTGTCTAACAAGTCTGTCCTCTTCAGCCTCCCCTCCTGGAGTTCAGAGCTGCAGGCCTTTTGAGTTGAACTACCAGGCAGCAGGCAACAGCTCTCTTCCCTTCACCTTGAAACTCATCAGAACCCAGATGTTCCCCATCTCGGAGTCCCTGCCTCCAGCAGGGGGTAAATGAGTGTGTATGTGCCGTACACACATGTTTACAGGTTAGAGGGAGAGAACAGAAAAGACAACAGCAGCGTCATAACCCTGGATGCTTCCAAATGAGGGACTAAGGGGAACCCCCAATCTCATTCCAGGGCTCATGATCCCCTACATTCTAGATAACCCCTAATCCCCTAGGCTGTATCCCACCCTCCAATTCTATCTTCACTTTCCAGGGACTCACCACCACTTTGGAGAGATCGACTGGAGGCTCCTGGGTTTTCTGAGGGGCCTGGGGGACAGCTGGCTCAGCTTTGGGTTTGGCTGGAGGAGCCCCTGCTGCTGCTGGCTTAGTAGCAGGTTTGGAGATGGAGGGCCCTGCTGGTTTCTTCACGGGAACATCCTTCTTGGGAGGCATGATGTCCGGTGGCCAAAGGACAGTGTGCGGATGGGGGCACCCATCTCTGTTTAAATAGCCAGGGAGTCTGGGATGTCAAGGGGCGGGGGCAGGGGCAGGGAGCCAGTTGGCAGTGGCGAGGGTGAGGTAGAGGAGAGATATAACCGCCTGCCCTCACTCCCCTGGACTCCTATGGTTCAGGACTACTGCCCCAAGGTCTTCTTCCCTGTCCCCTCATCCCCAAAGGCTGGCCAGAAAAGAACAATGTTCCCTTTAGGGGTAGGGGAGGAAGCCAGAGACTGCCCAGAATGAGGGAGTTAACCTCTGGGGTGGGGGTGAGGATAGGATGCTTGCCAGTGGCACTGAGATGGGGGTGAGGCAAAGCAGGTGATCCAGCAGCTTTTGTCTTCTTGAAGGGTGGGGTGAAGGGTAGCAGTCAGGGAGGCTTGTGTGAACCGGAACAAGTTAAATTGTGGTCTGGGAGCAGTGACAAAAACAAGCAGCCCATCCACCCAGCCCCTCCACTGACAGCGGGGGTATTTAACCCTACTCTGATAATAATAATCCCTAATACTTGTAGTCCCTGGGCCCCCACCCAGCTGAGATTTGGAACTATTCCCAGTATAAAGGAAGAACAGTCATAGAAACGGGAGTGTGACATCCTTCGTTGTCTTCTGTGCCCAGTGTTGTTTTAGGGGTAGGAGTAGAGGCAAAGATCAGCTTTAACATCTGCTACCCATGCTTCCAAGGAAGAACCTTCTTCCACAAGCCCACAGCCATTCAAGAGAAACAAAAGGTAGGGCGCTTGCTGAACCTGCAGGGACCCCATGGTGGTACCTGGGGAGAAGGGCGGGCTCTGGGAGACAAAGGGCTTAAATTCCCTAATCCAAGAGGATGTGGGCGTTCCTCTGGCCTCCAGGAGTATTCACCCCACAACCAGGAGGGATAATAAAAGTCCTGACCCAGGGGCCAGGTCACAAACCTTGCTCGGGACCCTGGGGGAGGGTCCAAATGAGGGGCGGTCAAAGTGGGGGGCGTTTGGGAGTGGGGAGGGGTGGCTAGCTACTTTTGTTCTGGATTCCACTTAGGCCCTGGGGTTGATGCTGGGTCTCCCATTCGCAAAATAGCGTCTGAATCTCATTACTGCAAACTGTCCCATTTTTAGAAAATACATCACACACACACGACCCAGACACACACACACACACACACACACACTCACACTCTCACAACCCCCCTCCCTCGCACCCCCCCCGCAAACCTTAAAGAAAGCGGCCCTCCTCAGCCCCGAAAAACTCACCCTGCGGGGTCCGGGTCTGGGGTTGGGGCGGGGGCGGGGCACAGCACGGCTCCCGGCCCTGAAGGGTTAATTTTGGCGGCCGCGGAGCATGCCGGGAGTCGTAGTCCCCTGCGCGCCCGCGGGCTCACGGGATACGCCGCGCTGGAGATTGCAGCTGACACGAGGGCGGTGGCTTCCGGCCGACGGCGGCGGTTGGTGACTCAGTGTCTTTCCAGCGCGCTTTTTGTCCCGGAACTGAAAGGCAATGAGCAATTTCCAATTTACCCCTACCCTAAAACCCTGCGGGGCCCCTGGGATGTCCCTCCTACTTATCCCTGGCGGACTCCTCGTCTCACGGGGGCTTGGATGTTTTCCTGGATCTACTGTTGAAAGAACTCAGAACCAGGGGAAAGGTTGAGGCTGCAGTAGGCAGGGTCGCGGTCAGATAGCTGGAAGCACTTACGGCCCCGGGGAGAGCGGCTGCGGTCTCTCTCGCTTCCTCTCGCGGTTTGGTAGAAAAAAAGGCTACAGAGAAGTTTGTTTGTTTTTAATGAGCTGGTTGCTGAAGCAAATGTTAAAGTTTGCAATTAACGCCAGTCACCTGCCCCAGCCTTCTGATTGAGGCTTCCATTCAGCAGCCGCATATGCGCCATCCTCCCGGTCTTCATAGGTTTCTGAGCGGAGGGATGGGCTTTCCAGCCCTACTTTCTGAGACACTTCTGCTCAGCATTGGAGTTCACTGGTTACCCTAGGCGTTGATGAGAGGATGGGAACCGGCCCGGCCGGGCCCAACTTCACTCACTGGATCAGCAAATACCCTGGCGGTGCACCTGGTGTTGGAGGCTGGGGCTGCACGGTCGTGTGACGATTAGAGTAGAAAACCCGCTCGAGGGCAGGGTGGTGAGGCACGGGTGAACTTTATGGGCAGTAAGTGAGGTTCACTGGTTGGGGAAAAGTTTATTGTAAAAATAGAAATGAATTGTACGACAGAAATAACGATGGCAGTAAGTTAGCAACCATTTCTGGAGGCCACCATAGATCCAATACCAATGAAGGGGCTAAATTATCTCAGAGGCAGCACAGAGGGTGCTCAAGTGCTTGGGGCTCAGATTTGAATCCGGGTTATGCCAGGTGCTGGTTAGTGACCCTCAGCAGGTTATCTCTCCTGGGCCTCAGTCCCTCATCTGTAAAATAACGATACTTACCTCATAGGGCTCTTAGGAGGATTCGAAGTATGATACTGGTAAAGTAGGGCCGGGCGCGGTGGCTCGTGCCTATTATTCCCAGCACTTTGGGGGGGCGAGACAGGTGGCTCACCTGAGGTCAGGCGTTCGAGACCAGACTGGCCAACAGGGTGATACCCCGTCTCTACTAAAAATACAAGAAAATTAGCTGGACGTGGTGGCGGGCACCTGTAATCCCAGCTACTTGGGAGGCAGAGGCAGGAGAATCACTCGAACCCAGGTGGCAGAAGTTGCTGTGAGCCTAGATCCCTCCACTGCACTGGGGCCTGGATGACAGAGTGACAGAGCGAGACTCTGTCTTTAAAAAAAAAAAAAGGTTGGAAAATAGAATAGGCCTGGCACAGCATAAGTGCTGTATAAGTGTTTGTTAAATAACTTTCCTTTAATCTTCCCAAGTATGAGGTCGCTGGTATTTTCCCCATTTTACATCAGTGAAGGAAGGATCAATAGGTGTCATGAAGAGACGGAGAGGAAGAAGGAATACATCTTTTGAGTGTTTGGTTATAAGACTGGGAAAGGGCCACATTATAGATGCCTTTGTGTGGCTTTCATCACTTTCGCAGACGTTGGTTTCAAACATACAGCTCTTCTAATTTTTTTTTCTTTCTTTTTCTCACTTGTGGCATTTTGCCAAGTATGAGTGGTATGGCATCAGCTGACTTTCCTTCTTTCTTTCTTTCTTTTTTTTTTTTTTTTTTTTTTTTTTGAGATGGAGTTTCGCTCTTGTTGCCCAGGCTGGAGTGCAATGCCGCGATCTCAGCTCACCGCAACCTCCGCCTCCTGGGTTCAGGCAATTCTCCTGCCTCAGCCTCCTGAGTAGCTGGGATTACAGGCACGCACCACCATGCCCAGCTAATTTTCAGTATTTTTAGTAGAGAAGGGGTTTCACCATATTGACCAGGATGGTCTCGATCTCTTGACCTTGTGATCCACCCGCCTCGGCCTCCCAAAGTGCTGGGATCACAGGCTTGAGCCACCGCGCCCGGCCTCTTTTTTTTTTTTTTGAAATGGAGTCTCACTCTGTCACCTAGGCTGGAGTGCAGTGGTATGATCTCATCTCACTGCAACCTCTGTCTCCTGGGTTCAAGCGATACTCCTGCCCCAGCCTCCTGAGTAGCTGGGACTATAGGCTCGAGCCACCACGCCTAACTAGTTTTTGTATTTTTAGTAGAGATGGGGTTTCAACATATTGGCTAGGCTAGTCTTGAACCTCTGACCTTGTGATCTGCCCGCCTCAGCCTCCTAAAGTGTTGGGATTACAGGCGTGAGCCACGGTGCCTGGCCAGCATCAGCTGACTTCATAGCTTTTTTTTTTTTTTTGAGATGGAGTCTTGCTCTGTCGCTCAGACTGGAGTGCAGTGGTGCAATCTCAGCTTACTGCAGCCTCCACCTCCCAAGTTCAAGCGATTCTCCTGCCTCAGCCATCCAAGTAGCTGGGACTACAGGCACATGCCACCACACCTGGCTAATTTTTTGGTATTTTTAGTACAGTCGGAGTTTCACTTTGTTAGCCAGGATGGTCTCCATCTCCTGACCTGGGGATCCGCCCACCTCAGCCTCCCAAACTGCTGGGATTACAGGTGTGAACCACTGCACCCGACCAACTTTCTAGCATTTTCTATAGAGAAGCAGTACAGGAAAAAAACATTAAGACCCTTGGAGAGATTGGAAGGCTGTCCTACATTTTCTCTGCCATCCCTGTTCTTTTAATCATAAGTAACAAACTGGGCCGGGCGCGGTGGCTCAAGCCTGTAATCCCAGCACTTTGGGAGGCCGAGGCGGGTGGATCACGAGGTCAAGAGATCGAGACCATCCTGGTCAACATCGTGAAACCCCGTCTCTACTAAAAATACAAAACATTAGCTGGGCATGGTGGCGTGTGCCTGTAATCCCAGCTACTCAGGAGGCTGAGGCAGGAGAATTGCTTGAACCCAGGAGGCGGAGGTTGCGGTGAGCCGAGATGGCGCCATTGCACTCCAGCCTGGGTAACAAGAGCGAAACTCCGTCTCAAAAAATAAATAAATAAATAAATAAATAAATAAATAAATAACAAGGCCGGGCGCGGTGGCTCACGCCTGTAATCCCAGCACTTTGGGAGGCCGAGGCGGGTGGATCACAAGGTCGAGAGATCGAGACCAACCTGGTCAACATGGTGAAACCCCGTCTCTACTAAAAATACAAAAAATTAGCTGGGCATGGTGGCGCGTGCCTATAATCCCAGCTACTCAGGAGGCTGAGGCAGGAGAATCACTTGAACCTGGGAGGCAGAAGCTGCAGTGAGCCAAGATTGTGCCATTGCGCTCCAGCCTGGGCAACGAGCAAAACTCTGTCTCAAAAAAAAAAAAAAAAAATTTACCCATCAATTGGCAAGATTTTTAAAACTTATAAAAATCAGGGTTGGCCGGGCGCGGTGGCTCAAGCTTGTAATCCCAGCACTTTGGGAGGCCGAGGCGGGTGGATCACGAGGTCAAGAGATCGAGACCATCCCGGTCAACAAGGTGAAACCCCATCTCTACTAAAAATACAAAAATTAGCTGGGCATGGTGGCGCATGCCTGTAGTCCCAGCTACTCAGGAGGCTGAGGCAGGAGCATTTTAGGAGGCAGAGGTTGCAGTGAGCCGAGATCGCGCCATTGCACTCCAGCCTGGGCAACAAGAGCGAAACTCCGTCTCAAAAAAAAAAAAAAAAAAAGAGATCGAGACCATCCTGGCCAACATGGTGAAACCCCGTCTCTACTAAAAATACAAAAAATTAGCTGGGCATCGTGGTGCGTGCCTGTAATCCCAGCTACTCAGGCTGAGGCAGGAGAATTGCCTGAACCCAGGAGGCAGAGGTTGCGGTGAGCCGAGACCGTGCCATTGCACTCCAGCCTGGATAACAAGAGCGAAACTCCGTCTCAAAAAAAAAAAAAAAAAAAAAAAAGGCTGCTGCAGTTCCAGACATCTTATCCTCATACCAGTGATGTAAGCAGAAAGGAAGGGGCATTGAGGCGTTTCTTCTTTAGATGCTTCCTCTTACATCTTGTTGACCGAAGCTGGGTCAGGGTCATTCTAAGTTGCAAGGGAGGCTGGGAAAGTGACTGTTCAGCAAAGGGGACCTTGATTAATTTCTTGGGGCTGGCACACTGCCACCAGGGACATTCTGGGATTCTGTATGTAGGGGAGAGGGGAAATGGCTGTTGGGTAGACAACTGTGTTACCACACCTAGTTAAGTATAGTACATTGTTTGGTCCAATGAAACCACATTCCAAAAGGATAGCATTTGCAAACATCAGTGATAGCATAACCATATGCAGTCATATCTTTCTCTGGAAAAGGTATACAGTGTATGTGTCAAAAGTCAGCTGTTTGAGAAATGACAGAAGTATATTTAATTTATGTGATTAATGACTCTTAAAATGTGTTCCATCTCATATATAAAAGTGCAACTGGGCCAGGCAAGGTGGTTCATGCCTGTAATACCAGCACTTTGGGAGGTCAAGGCGGGCAGATCATGAGGTCAGGAGATCGAGACCGTCCTGGCTAACACGGTGAAACGCCATCTCTACTAAAAATACAAAAAAAATTAGCCAAGCTTGGTGGCATATGCCTGTAGTCTTAGCTACTTGGGAGGTTGAGGCAGGAGAATCGCTTGAACCCAGGAGGTGGAGATTGCAGTGAGCCAAGATCGTTTCACTGCACTCCAACCTGGGCAACAAAGTGAGACTCTTATCTCCAAAAAAAAAAAAAAAAAAGTGCAATTGTGTTCTATGTCTCATCTTGCATGAATTTAGTTGGGTTTTTCTCTGCAGACATTCTTGGTTGTCATCTTTTTTTTTTTTGGAGGTCACCCAGAGTGGAGTAGAATGGTATAATCCTAGCTCACTGATTTTGAACTCCTGGGCTCAAGCGATCCTTCTGCCTCAGTCTCCTAAGTAGCTGAGACTACAGGTGCATACCACCAAGGCTGGCTAATTTTTTTTTTTAAGGGTAGGGGTTTTCTCTGGATCCTTTGCCTCAGCCAGCCTTCCCAAGTATTGGCATTATAGGTGTGAGCCATCGAAGTTAGCCATCATCTTGTATTTAATATGTAGATTAGTACCTCTTCCCTTATACTTAACTCGAAAAGGTTAGAAACGATTAGGGACCCTTCTGGGATGGGAGAATTTGTGCCATCTCCTCTAGTTTTCTGGAAATGTAATTACTTGCGGTGATAAACTAGTTAAGAATGTTTCTTAAAATCACACATTGCAGCGCTGGGCGCGGTGGCTCAAGCCTGTAATCCCAGCACTTTGGGAGGCCGAGGCGGGTGGATCACGAGGTCAAGAGATCGAGACCATCCTGGTCAACATGGTGAAACCCCGTCTCTACTAAAGGTGCAAAAAGTTAGCTGGGCATGGTGGCGCGT